TTTAATCTCACCTGACCAAAGGACATGCTTCCAGTATGAATAGTCTCCTGGTCATCTTTAGCATACTTCAGTCTGGCTTGAAGGCTATTTTTCTTTCCAGAGTCTTTTTTTATTTGATTTTATGAGGTTTAAGCATCACAGAGTTAAAGTAGAACAGTAGTTTGTGCTTTGGCTCACTTAAAAAGGTCCGATTTTAATATTAAGCTTTGTCATTTTGATTTTGTTCTGAATAAATTCTTCTATTGTTTGCAGAAATGTTTATAAATGCTCTGTTAAAAAATAAATTCACAAGGGGGCTAATAGTTTTAACCTCAGCTTTACATTTTCTTGTTATATAGTCTCATTTAAATTTATTTTATTCTTAACAACATATAAATATATATGTACATTTGTAGTGCAAGATTTATCTTGCGACACTTTGAAGGGCCCCACATGCTGGAGTGAACTGCACCACCCACACTAACCTCTGATGCACATCCAGTCATTTTGTCTATAAGCAGCTAAAATATGATGGCGATGGTTACGTTAGCTTTAAGTTAGCTTTAATGTAGGTGGGTAAGCCTTTGCTATAGTCTCTGATTTATCAGAAATGCTTAATCAGTGCTTTTTAATTTATTATTTTTAGTCAGCTGAAATAAAATGAAGCTAAAACCACTGAGATGAATTTGATTTGTATTATGTCACATTCGCTGACTGTCTTTCAGATTTTCTGGCTCAGGCAGATATAATTTGTTGTCTGAATGATTCAGAATTATAATTATTCAACTGAAAGTATAATGAAACAAATACAGACTTTTTATGATAAAGTAACAAGTGAAATATGAGTCATGTCTGTGTGTTTTTTTTCTTTCTTAATTTGCCGTTGAGCCCATCAGCCGCTTTTTGAGAGAAATCCAGCCCACTGTGGTTTACTGAAGCATATATCTTTATTACTATAAATATCTGGTCCCCAGATAACCTGTGCACTGTTCCTAAAAAAGGCTTTTAAATAATGAACAGTAGCTAGTAAGAGTCACAAACACTCAAATCCAACTGGTCATATGTTTCTTCCTGCATTGCTCCTCCAAAAATCAGATTTTTTTAATCTTATTTAGATTCCCAGAAATGTAAATTGTCCTCACAGTGGATTTAAGCACTCACGTGCTTCCCCTCGCAGCTAAACAAGAGAGCTTTTAGCTCTTCTAATGAGCTCATCAGCACTTACAGCCTGCAGCCTCTTCAGCAGCTGGAAACAGCTGACCCGGTGAAGTTTGTTTCTGCCTTGAAACCAGCACATTATAAATGCCCTGTAGCCATGGCATTATAAATGCATGTGGAAGTGGGCATTACAGTATGAGTCATCCAGCTTCAGCTATTGAAATAGGGCATCTGGTCAGAGATGCAGACGTGGAGAAAAAAGAAAATGCACTTTTTTACTTTATGCGGCTTTAAACTTGCACTATTAGAGCATCAGCACTTTTTAAACACCAAGCTTATTTTAGATATTACCTGCCTGCATTATTATAGATTTTACTCTGAAAGTCTTTTTTTATATATTTATTGATTGGGGCCTAAAATTATGTCAAACAAACCAATACTGTTACTAGAATCTGCCACAAGACAGTCAGTCTGATGTCACACTATGATTGAATGGGGTCAGGTTGACAATTATAATTACAAATTCACATTCAACTGTTACATTTGTGCTCATCAGTCTTCCTGTTCTATAGGAATATAACCAGAATACAGTCCCTTCGAGTTGTGCTTATTGAAAAAGGCTCATTCAGCTCATTTGTGCTCTGAATTAGGAGGCAGCCTTGCCAAGCTTTCCGGTTAGTGTGTCCAGTTGATCAGTTTATCATAAAGTTTCCTCGGCTAACATTATCTCAGGATGGATGCATGAGGAGATGAGCACTCTATGAGCAGTAATCTCAGGCTACGTCCACACGTACCCGGGTATTTTTGAAAACGCAGATTTTTCTATGCGTTTGCACCTTTCGTCCACACGTAAAC